TTGCCCCCTTGATCTACCGCAGCCGCAGCCCCTGTCGCACCAGCGAGGCGGTGGGCTCCGGCCTGGGGCCTGCCCTGCACCTCGAGGGCTCCCTGCCACCCGAGGAGCTCCCGGCCACACAGAGTCCTGGTGCTGGGCGGGGAGAGCCTTGGCCAGGCTCTGCCTCTCCCTCGGGGGACCAGCTGTCCACCTGCAGCCTGGAGATGAACTACAGCAGCAGCTCCTCCCTGGAGCACAGGGGGCCCAACAGCTCTACCTCAGACGTAGGGGGGCTCGAGGCCTCTCCTGGGGCCGCCCCGGATCTCAGGAGGACCTGGAAGGGTGGCCGCGAGGGGCCCACATCGTGTGCCTGCTGCTGCGAGCCTCAGCCCTCTGCGGGAGCAGCCAGTGGCAGCACCTTATTCCCGGGCCCCCCGCTCTGTGAGGGCTGCAGCCCCATTCCTGGGCCCCCCGCTCTGTGAGGGCTGCAGCCCCACAGGTGGGGAGCCGCAGCCAGGAAGCTCCCCAGGCCTCTACAGCCTTCACCCAGACCATTTGCCGAGGACAGATGGGGTGAAATACGAGGGCCTACCCTGCTGCTTCTATGAAGAGAAGCAGGTGGCCCATGGTGGCGGCGGGGGCAGCGGCTGCTACACTGAGGACTACTCGGTGAGTGTGCAGTACACGCTCGCTGAGGAGCCCCCGCCCAGCTGCTACCCAGGGCCCCGGGACCTGAGCCAGCGCATCCCCATCATTCCGGAGGATGTGGACTGTGACTTGGGCCTGCCCTCAGACTGCCAGGGGACCCACAGCCTCAGCCCCTGGGGTACATCGCCAGGCCCGGATGCCCCGCGGCCCCACGGAGGCCTAGGAGCGGCCTGGGAAGATGAGCAGGCTTTGCGCTGCCAGGCTGGGGATCCGCCACAGCCCTGCTGCTCCCCAGAGGAGGCGGGGGCCGCCAGGGCCAGCCACCCCAGTGCCCCCCGGGATACTCAGGAGTCCAAGGCCACGGCCACTGAGGCTGCAGGTGAGAACAAGAGCTTCCAGGGCATCCTCTCTGCTCCGTGTTTCTGAATGACAGTCTTTGTGCCCCGTCTGGACCTGAGGCCTTCCAAGTGTTACTTCCCAGCCCGGCCCTTCCTCCAAGTCCCAGCACCCTCGAGCGCTCCGCTTCCGTGATCTTGTGATCTCCACGGCCCCGGTGCCTCACCAGCGCCCCAACCCGTCCTGTCCATGCAGCGCTCTCGTCCCCTGGCATATCCCAGATTTATCCTATGTCTCTGGCTACTGTCCGCCGGTCCAGCCCCATTTCTTGTCTCCAGAGCAAAGGCAGTCACCTTCTGATTCTCTCCTGTCCCCGGTCTTGCCTTCTGTTCCTCTTGGGAGCCAGAGTGTCCTTTTCTGAAACATAACCCAGTATCTTCACATTGGAAAACCCCTTACTGATTTGCCATTACCTTTAGAATGAAAGTAAAGAATAGAATCATGTAACTTCTCGCCCACCTGTGGGTGATCCGGCCCCTGCCTCCCCAGCCAGCCCTCCCGTCTCACTCCCCTCTGCTCACTGGTTTGGCCTCCTGTGCCCCATCTTGTTCCTACACTGTGCCTCAGGTCTCTTCCCCACTTCTCCCGTTCTCAGCTTAAATGACCCTCTGGCCCCTCCACAGTCACTTTCTGTTGATTCCTTGTCATCCCAAGTTGAAATTACCATGCCCAAAGGTCCATGGGTCCGCTCCGCCGTTCTTCCCAGTGCCTGCAACAGTGCCTGATGTATACTGGGTGCTAAATTAACAGTTCTATATATTTGCCATCTAGAAGCTTCCAGAAGGTTCCACACATCCAGATGAGAGAGGCTGATTCCAGGAGGCATCCATGTCCTTAGCACAGTTAGAGCCCACCTTAGAAAAGGAGCCCTGCTGCAGCTCTGTCGTACACACTTCATCATGAGTTGCCACTTCCTGAGGGCCAGCCACAAGCCAGGGACAGCAGCACCGAGTCCCTTGCCTGGTCCCTGTGCCTTGCGCCTCAGGTCTACAGTGTCGGCTCCCCCCCTGATCGCTGTTCTCTCTCTGTCTGTCCCAGGACTAGGATCTCAGCCCGCAGACAACAGTGGCCTGGGAGCCTGAGCTCAGAAGGAACTCTTACCTGGAACTGTATGGACACTCAAATCCTGACTTCCTTCAAAAAAAAGAGAAAAAAAAAAAGAAGAAACGAATTTTTTTAGCTTTGACAAACACACGAAAGTGGTAATAAAGAGAGCCCTCTTTCTCAGCCCGAAATGTGAGCCAGCTGTGGCAAAACCACCCCCCACCCCGTTAACAAACCAACAGACAAATTCTGAGTCCTTTCCTCTTTAGATAACATGTTATTTCTTCTGTTTTGTAAAGTGTGTGTGCTTGGGGTTCCGAGGTGTGTGGGATTGAGTTCTCTGCTTTTTTTTTTTTTTTTTAAGATATTATATGTAAATGTAAAAAGTTATTTAAATATATATATTTTAAAGAACCCTAACCACCAACTTTTGCTGAAAAAAAAAAAAATCACTGCTGCATTAAATGAACCACATCATGTGTAGATACTGTTGTCTCCCTGGAGGGAGCTCAGGCCTTTGAAAAGCTCAGGGCTACACCTGCCTTAGAAATGAACCAGAAACTTGAAGTAAAGCTAGTTGATATGGGTACAAACTTTGGGGACAATGCAGAGCTGCCTCTTTCTTTCTTGTGGCAAATCCCAACGTACAGAATGTCAGGTTTTCTCGGAAGCCATGCCTCTCTAGCCCACACCTTCAGGCAGGTGATGGAAACAGCAAAGAACCGGGCAGAAGGTTTGCGACACTGGGCAGCCAGGCAAGCCACTGCTAGGAAAGTCCCAGGGTGACAAGGACAATTCTGCCCAGTATCCTCACCCTGACCCCTCAGGTCATGGTCCAAAGTAAGAGACAAGAGTTCACAGTCCTAATCTTGGCAGAAGGACAGTGTTCTTAGGGTCCTCCTTCTGAACTCTGACCCCTGGGACAGGGCAGAGGAGCCCCCTTGCACAAACACACGAACACGCTGACTTTGGAGTCCTTTGCAAAAATCGTTCAGGCTTCTTGTCGCTGGCTGCAGAAACGGTTCAACGAGGTGTGTGGGGGCAAACACCCGGGAGGAATGTAGTTTTGTGGCCTTGGTGTCCAAGGGGGCTCGGGAGCGCTCTCCACTAACTCATTACTGTTTAGGGAAGGGCTAGGGTGCTGGGGCTTGCGTGCCTGTGCGCATGCCTCTGTGGGGGGGGGGAGCCACCCCCCTCGGCTGCTGCTTCCTCGGGCTGCCTTCCTCCAGCAGGTGCCAGGACTCTACAGGGCCTGCACTGAGCTCAGCTTGAATGCTACTTTTCCCATCGCGTTTTCCCACAGAAGCACCGCGTCAGGGTTATTCGGCCCCCTGCACCATGGCCGAAATCACTCATCTCGCCTGCGAATGTCTACCACCCTGTCTACGTGATGCACTATTCTGTGTCGATTCCCGTGAGGCGGAGAAAGACTATCAGATAGTTTAGACCCAAAGGGTAGGTTTTTGTATATTTTTCCAGCCCCCCCCCCTTTTTTTTTCTTTTAAGAGAGGGAGGGAGAAAGCCCAAACCATTTTACTTTTTTTTTTTTTTTTTAAGATGTTTTTAAAAGGGAGAATCTATTTAAAGCTATTTCAGATCAGGGATTGTCATCCTTTTTGTCCGATTCTTGTTCTTAAATGTCATGTTTTTTAGGGGGAACTAGTCACATTAGCCCTTCACTAACCCTTCTGGTTGCTTCTCTTCATTCATTCATTTATTCATTCAGCAGGTGCTTGTCATTTGGAAGAATTTGGCCCCCTGGGTCTAAAAGCTTATTTGCCCAATAGAAACTGGGACCTGGCTCCCTGCAGGTGGGAAAATAGGGACCATTGGGATTGCCAGGAGACTGTCAGGACCCTTATCCAGTTAGGCTTCCCAGCAAGTCAGCGCAGGGGCCAGACTAGAATGTTTGGAATGAGCATCTCTATATCAGAATATTTTTTTTCTTAAAAACCCCAGCCTACAATGAGGAAACTTTTGTTTTCTAGCCAGGATTTGACAGGAAGAAATTCCAGCGTCAAATGATCAAGCCATTTGCCACTTAGGAACTCACTGTAGTGAGATTTGCCCTCCAGCCTCCGGGGTACAGTCCCCTGGGACTGCTCCCAGGACTGTGCCCAGAACACCTGTTGGTGAGGGTGTGAGAAGCTCATAAGCTGTTGACATGTGATCTGGGCCGCCTTTATTTCTTGGGCCAGAAGTGGCAGCTGCTGAGGACAACAGCTTGCATTACGTGGTTTTAGGGAAAGGGGGATACTGCTTTTAACAGGAACTGCAGAAAGCAGTTTCTCATTGTTAAGATGTTTTTTGTTGTTTGTGGTTTTGCTTTTTTTGTTTTTAATGCCTTTGAGTGCATATCATCTTCCTTGTCTGAAATCGTACCCCCAAAGTGGCTTTCTTTAGCCCTGGCTGGAAAACCACTCCTCGAGAGCCTTAAGCAATAAATTGATGAGTAGAGAATATGGTTTCAGTGTATTAAAATAAGTGCACCCAACTTTCATTTGAAAAAGTGATAACTGCAGACAGCAAAAGAAGCACATTTAATTTTTGTAGTTTACAGGCGGTAGAAGGAAAAATGATATTTGAAAACCTTAATTATCTACATTGCCTTTGCATTTTGCAGTGGCTCCTCTGACAGGGACATTATGAGAATAAAATAACCAGCTATCTTACTGAGTCACCATGGAAATCAAAAGCAATGTCTTTGAAGTTATAAGACTGATAATGAAAAATACTCTTTCTGTGTGGACTCTCAGTGGTGTGTGGTGGGAGCATCTTGTTTTCCATTGAGAACACCCCACACCCCCATGTCAAGGGCATAGGGCACTGTGGATGGCCCAGCCCTGGGTGTAAGACACCCATGTACACTGAAGAGTTCTAAAACCAACTAAACATGGGAATTTGGATGTTCTGACCAGCAAGGTACCTCTTTGTGGACATGGCCCCTATGAGCTGGCTCAAACTCTCCAGACCTTTCCCCTTCTCTAAACCCAAGCCATTTTGTAAAACCCCATCTGCTGTTCACTGCCCAGAGTCTTCCTGATGTGCTACTTACTGGTCTCTATGGAAGTTCATGCAGGACTAATGCTTTTTAAATGAGGTTAAAAAAAAAAATAATAGTAATTCCTGAACCAGAGTATTGTTTTTTAAACAACTGCCTTTTTCTATTCTTTATATAAACTCTATTGTGTTGGTCTAACAAGGCACTATTTTAAAATGTTTTTTGTTTGAAAACTTCTCCCATAGCACTTAAAAGATATTTTGTAAAGATTTTGCTGTAAAGATTTTTGTACTAAAGCGGTCTAAGGGCTCTTTCTCCAACATTACCATTTAAAAAAAAAAAGGTTTTAAAAGCTAGAAAACAACTTATGTATATTCTGTATATGTATAGCAGCACATTTCATTTATGGAAATATGTTCTCAGAATATTTATTTACTAATATATTTATCTTAAGCCATGTCTTATGTTGAGAGTGTGACATTGTTGGAATAATCATTGAAAATGACTAACACGAGGCCCTGTAAATACATGATAATTGCACACAGATTTTACATATTTGCAGACCAAAAATGATTTAAAACAAGTTGTAGTCTTCTATGGTTTTGTAACAAATTGTACAAATGACTGTAAAAAAAAAATACAATTTTATCAAGTATGTGTTATATGTTGTCATTGCTCTGTTTGGTAAAAGGCTACATGTAGATCTTACAAAGGGGCAGTTTGCATGGAGCAGAGCTTTGAACTTAAACTTGCCCATGGGGACACCCACAGCTTCCTCTCTGTTAACACAGAATCCATGTTGAAACCAGCAGGTAGTGTAGTGGTTAAGGCGCCAGGCTCCCACATGGCCAGTGGCGGTTTGAGTCCCAGACTTGGTGGCTTGAAACTCACCGGGCACATGATTGCATGCCCAAAATGCCAGGAAGAGAATGGAGGAGAAGAGATTGTGGTATGACCATCCCCGCTGGGGGGTGATTTCTCACTTTCCCTCTCACTGTCTCCAGTGAGCGCACATGCCCTATGACAAAAACCTTACTTTAAAAATTTTTTTTTCTTTTTAAAGAATCGAGGTTACTGGGAGTTTAGGTGGTGTCGTGCGAGAGAGCATCAGCTGAGTGTGTGGGTTTCCGTCCTTGAAGTGGTAGGCTTTCTGCTCAGCCCTGTGTGGAGGGAGGTAGGAAAAATGGTAGTCAGTGAGCAAGAGCCTAACAGTCCACTTTTTAAATACAAGTGGGGTATCAACCATCAGTTTCAGGCCAGCCAGTGGCCTGGTGTTAAGGCAGCTTATTCCCACGTGACCAACAGCAGGGTTCAAGTCCCCAACCTGGCTGCTTGAAAAACAGATATATATGTGTGTTCGTGTGAGTGCATGCCCAAAATCTTGAGAGGAGAATGGAAGAGAAGGTACAGTCGCGTGACCATCCCCCCAACCCCAGGGGATGATCTCTCACTTGCCCTCTTTCTGTGTCTCTGTCTCTCAGGTGAGCGCATGTGCTCTATAGCAAACTAAAAATAAAACAAACTATCAGTTTCATCTGCCTCTGCTGGAAGACAGAGACTCTCCCAAGCCCTTACAAGAAAAAACATCTAGCCCTCCAGATTACATAGTCAGGAGAGCCAAACTGTGGCACAGCAGTAACTCAATGCGGTGCTGGACCACATAGGAAGGTCCAGGGTTCACATCCTAGAGCTTCCTATACACATTGGGCATCCATGTACCCATGATCCAGGCTAGCTGAGGCTGAGGTCCTCTCTCAATTAAATATTAATACATACACTTAAAAATGCACGTTTACCTAATCACGAGGGGAGAGAGGCCCTCAGTCTTGATCAGAACCCCTCCTCACTTGTCTCATTTTCTCATGAGGGTGGCACTAATGTGTAAAGCACTATAAGATCCTGTGGAAGGTGCAAAGTAGTGTTTATTTTTCAGACATCTAGTAGAGAATATCTAACCCCATGAGTTCCTTTCCTATTTTTCACTCTAACCTGGACCATTTCTTGGGTAGAGGCTCCTCATGGACGCCCAGCAGCTTCAGGCCTGGAAAGGGGTCTTTCTGAACACCTCCAAGGGCAGCCTGACTGCACAGAGCTTCCCGGAGCCTTTGTTTAATGGCCTTGCCCAGCTCCAAGCTGTATCTCTTAGGGGTTCCAGAAGGGTTCCATAGCATCGGTTCTACCACAGCATGGTACAGAGCCCGGTAACCCTCTGTGGAGAGGCCGTGGATGGTGAGCATGTCCTCCGACAACGGCTGTCTCTTCTGGGTTTCAGTTAGCAACGGTTGGCCCTTGCAGGCAGCGGTCCCACTGTCCCCAGGCAGCGCTTGGGTGGGAGCCACATGGTCAGCATATCTGTCCTCAAGATCTTGGCGGACTGTTACTTTTTTCTCCTTTGAACTCTCTTTACTCTAGCCAGGAAGAAAGCAGAGAAGTCAAAACTTGAGAAGGGAGCTCAGAATAATTATCTGGGGTTGTGTCCCAGAGTCTTGGTTACGGCAACAACTAACATTTGTCTAGCATGTTCTAGTTTACTGAGTTCCTTTATGTATACCGCTGCGTGTGTTCCCTATAACCCTGTAAGGTCAGCAGGGGAACCGCTTTAAAGGCAAGGAAATTGCATTTGGGTTGCTGGAGGCCACACAGCTAGAGGGTTAATAACCACAGCTGTCATCTATTGAATGCCACGCGGGGTCCTAATTATTTACTCTGTGCCAGGCTCTTCAAAAGCCCTTTGCATATATTAACTTATTTCATCTCCATGAAACCCTGTGAGGGAAAGGCCTTTAGCCCCCATTTTATAGAATAGAATCGAGGCATAAAGAGTTTAAACCCAAGGTCGTCCTCAGAATCAGAGCAGAGATTTGAACCAACAACAACCTGGCTCCAGGGCGCTCTCTGAGCTCCCCTGGCCTCTGTAGAGAGATGGAGTTGAACTCAGAGCAGGCCTCTGAATGCCAGGCTCTCCATGTGGACATTCACAGCCAGGTCTGTAGCCTATCTGCGGTGTGCGTATGTGCATGAGCACGCACTGCCCATCCCCTGACTCACTCTCCCTTATTTTCCTTTTACGTCGTTTGTTGGGTCTGTGTTTATGAAAGCTCTCATCCTTCTCTCGAACTAGGCAGAATATTGCTTAAATAAATAGCATGGCCCCAGATCCTCTGTCCACGCTGTCATGCTGGGCCCCCACCTGCCTCCCACAATCCTGTCTTCAGTTTAAGAATTTCCTTCACTTGGTATAAACCTAAGTGGGGACTAGATGGCGGCACAGTGGTAGAGCACAACACTCTGCAAGGCTGACCCACATAGGAGAGTGCTAGGTTCAAGTCCAGAGACCTCCGAGTATACTGGTCATGGATTAGAGCTGCCTAAGGCTGGGAGTAGGGTGCAGTGTCAAGACCCAGTAGGGAGTGCCGTCTCTGTTTTTCTTGCTCATGGAGAAATAAATACATAAACTTTAAAAAAAGAAAAAAATCTCAGATTGACTCTGTAATCTGTGGTTAAGAGAGCCAGAGCCCACAGACTGGCTGCAGTTTGACTTGCAGCCTCAGAGATGGAAAAATACGCTGGGCACATGTGCATGCCCCAAATCCCACCCAACAGGATAGAGAAATGGAGGAGAAGGGGTTGTGGCATGACCACATCCCATTGACAGCTATTTTCTCACTCTGGCGACCACGTGCACCCTCTTGCAATTAAAAAAGTAGAGAAAAATCTCAGGGGACCAGCAAGTGGCATGGTGGTTAAGGTGCTGGATTCTCACATGGTCAACCACTGTTCGAGTCCTGAACCTGAAGGCTTGCTTTCTCACTTTCCCTCTCTCTGTGTCTCTCTGGTGAGTTCATGTGCCCTATAGCAAGTTTTTGTAAAAATAATTATTTAATTCTATTTATTATTATTATTTTTTAATTTGACCAGAGAAAGACAGCGATAGAGAGAAAGGGAAAGCGAGAAAGCAGGCCACCAGGTCCAGCACTCAGACTGCTCTCGGCCATGTGGGAATCCAGCGCCTTTATCCATCACACCACTTGCTGGTCCCCCTATAGCAAATTTTAAAACAATATTTATTTCATTTTAAAATAACAATTATTTAAAATAATAACAATAAATAATTCTTTAAAAAGAACTCTCTTTGGCTGGCTTTATAGTCCAGTGGTTAGGGCAGAAGGATTCTACCTGGCTGACTGCATAATTTGAGGTCTGGACACAGCACCTTGAAAAACATGCCAGGCGCATGTGTGTGCATCCCCAGATTCCAAAAAAGAGAGAGAAATGGAGAAGGGATTGTGGTGAGACCATTCCCCATGGTGGTGGTGGGGGGGGTGGGGTGCCTTTTTCTCTCCCCCTCCATGTCTCTCTGTCTCTGGTGAGCACATATGCCCTCTAACAAAAAAAAAAAAAAAAAAAAATCTTTTTTTTTTTTTTTTTTGTAACGTCTGAAAAAAATTGCCCGTCACATTTCGTCCCCCCCTGGCCATCGGGTACCTCTCTGGTGCTTCCTGCAGGCCTTCTGTGCCTAGGGAAGGGTGGCGGCTGCCCTGCTGGCCCCTCGCTCTTGGAACTGATGGAGTTTCTTATCCTGACACGCTGGGTAGCGTTCATGGAAGAATTGTCCTTGCGCTTCAATCTCTTTGAGGGTTTCGCTTCTCCAAACTTGCTCTGAACTGGGCAGCATTGATCCTTCAGTTGCCGCCTTAGCACGAGCTTAACCAGGGAGAATGAACTGCCGATGAACGGGCTCTTTACAACTTCCCAAGTAGAGGTGTTACCTGCTGCCAAAGGCCTGATGTTCTGCTTCGCGCATGTTCTAGCTATCCGGATGTTGCTGAGAGCTGGTGAGTCCACGTAGCAATCCTGAAGCCTGGTGTTCAGTAAGATGGACTGTCGGAGTCCATAGGTGGGGATGCTGGGGTCTCGTCTCACATAGACGGGATGCTGGAGTTATAAGGAAAGAAAAAGGGAATCGAAAAATGAAAGGACCAGCCTTCAAGGAGGGAATCGAAAAAAGGTCAGCTTCGGAGGCAAAGTAATCACATCTTTTTATAGGCCATTCCTTCCGCACGGCTCCTAGAAATCTTGCTGTGTCTGCCCTCCTGCTCACCAAAGCTTTGGACCGAGTAGGGAAGAGCGAGTAACTTCAGGAGGTCATGGTGATAGTCAGGCTCTCAAAGAACATAGCATGCTGGGCAGGAAGTCAGGGGTCAAGGAGGGTTTATAAGGAACGAAAGGCAATTCCCATCTACTAGGAAGATAAGGGAATCTGGTGGGGAAGAAATGGGAGGTAGAGTCACTCAGGACTTCTACATGAACGGCAACTTCTCAGACCAGGCTGCAACATGGACACCACCGTAGCTACGTCCTGCCAAACACCGAATCCATTTTTTTAAAAGAGATTTTGTCTTAGGACACATGTGCTCATCAGAGAGAGAGAGAGACAGAGATGGTGAGAGGGAAAGGGAGAAATCTCGCCCCAGGGGGGACAGCCATGCCACAGTCCCTTCTCCATTCTCCTCCTAAGATCTTGGACATGTACACTCACGTGCCTGGTGTATTTCAAGACACCAGGTCTGGGACTCAAAACTCTGTTGGTCATGTGAGAGTCCAGAGATATAACTGCTACGCCATGGGCTAGCCCCCTGAATCCATTTTCTAACCAAACTGCTATGAGCCAAGAAGAGCTCTCAACAGAGAAATATACATACTCTGGGATCCATAAAAGCAAAAGCTCAACGTAAATGGTGCCAGTCTCCATTTCCTAGGATACACCACCAATGAGAGAGCAATTTGGGTAAAATAGAATCACATACTTAGAGACCTGACTTTCTAACAAATGTCCTCTATAGGAGGCCAGCAGGTGGCGTGGTGGTTTAAGGTGCTGGACTCCCACATAGCCAACTGTGGTTCGAGTCCCAAACCTGGCAGCTTGCTTTCTCACTTTCTCTCTCTTTCTCTTTCACTCTGTCCCTCTCTGGTCCCATTAAAATAAATAAATAAAGTTCAATAAAATAATTCTTTTTAAAAAAAAGAAGAAATGTCATCTATAAAAAATAAAATCACCTTACCATATTTCTGTTGCCTTACATTTTATTTTAGCTAGCTTAGTAAGGGGAAGAAACATGTATTTTCTTTTGCCTTTTCTCTCTCTCTCTCTCTTTTGTTGTTGTTTTGTATTGTTTTGTTTTGTTTTAGTATCTCTAGTCACCTGTCTTTCTCTGCCTCAGTCATGTATGGGCAACCTGCAGTTCGTGTGGATTTGGGCTCACACACAGGCGGCTTCGAGCCATTATCTCCAGCATTTGTGATGTCACTTTGGTTTGTGATGTGGGTGTGGGTGGGTGTTACATCATCAGATTTTATAGTTAAATTATGTTGGAAGAAATTCTATTTTGTTGTGCTTAAAGCCTCAGGGAACTTCCAAAGTCCTCATTTCCACCCCAGAATGGCTTGGGTGAATTTCAAAGGTCCTTAACATCATCTTATCAGGGGCCGGCAGGTGGCATGGTGGTTAAGATGCTGGACTCCCACAGGGCCAACTGTGGTTTGAGTCCTGGACCTGGCAGCTTGCTTTCTCACGTTCCCTTTCTCGCTCTCTCTCTCTCTCTCTCTCTGGTCAAATTAAAAAATAATAACAAATAAAATTCAACGAATAAGTCCTTAAAAAAAGTTTTTAAAAAACATAATCTTATTAAACATGCTTGGAAAAAATGTTAAATATGCAGACTAGATTTATGGATACAGGTAGTGAGATGCATCCTTCCACGTGCAACATGCCCTCGTCACGCACATAAAGAGGGTACTGTTAAAGTCTCAGGATAGCTGCCAAGGTTAGGGACCAGAAATGAAAGAACACGTTCCTGCAGCCCTGGACACCTCTCCCTGCATGTCTCTCCCGGGAGAACTACATGGTTTCTGGAATGTGGTTTTATGTTACATCCCATGGCAAATGCAGTAATTAGAGCTGTTAGCAGTATCAAGGGCTTGAAACGAGAACAAAGACGCCTCTTCCTGGGAACTCTTGAGCAATGCCTCCCTTCTTATCAGGTGTTTGCCCTGTTGGTGGTTTTGATTTTTCATACACAAAATGCCAAAGGAGGCTCCTTCCTGAGGGGGAAGAGAGTGAAATGATGGAAAAACAGACTCTGAGTCTGGCAGAGGCTCCTGGCATGTGTTGCCTGTTTGAATTTTCAAGTGTTGTCCCTGGAGTGAATCAAAGCCTACAGGCACACCGCACGGCAGGCCATGGTAGAACCACCACCTCCAGGCCGACAGCATCTGGACCCACAGACACTCGGGAGGACAATGACGCCCATTCAGCAGAGAAAGACAGCGATAGAGAGAAAGGGAAAGCGAGAAAGCAGGCCACCAGGTCCAGCACTCAGACTGCTCTCGGCCATGTGGGAATCCAGCGCCTTTATCCATCACACCACTTGCTGGTCCCCCTATAGCAAATTTTAAAACAATATTTATTTCATTTTAAAATAACAATTATTTAAAATAATAACAATAAATAATTCTTTAAAAAGAACTCTCTTTGGCTGGCTTTATAGTCCAGTGGTTAGGGCAGAAGGATTCTACCTGGCTGACTGCATAATTTGAGGTCTGGACACAGCACCTTGAAAAACATGCCAGGCGCATGTGTGTGCATCCCCAGATTCCAAAAAAGAGAGAGAAATGGAGAAGGGATTGTGGTGAGACCATTCCCCATGGTGGTGGTGGGGGGGGTGGGGTGCCTTTTTCTCTCCCCCTCCATGTCTCTCTGTCTCTGGTGAGCACATATGCCCTCTAACAAAAAAAACAAACAAA